AGACGAGGCTAGATCACCATGTCAATCCATTGGCCATTCAATTATTAGATAACTCCAAGGATATCCGACGTCTTAAGCGTCTGAAACCATACGACTTAGTTTAAGATTTTAGATTAAGGCAGGAGACACTTCATTGGAAGTGACTCCATCAACGTGTAATATATATATATATATATATTAGGGTGGTTTAAAAATAAGCAAAAAAAATTTTTAAATTTAAAATTTTTTTTGATCCATCCCAAATCAATTAAATAATTTAAACAATTGAAATATCAATTAAATTATAAATAACTGCTTTATGGATAAAATCTTTATTTTCATTTTTTAATTATACATTAAAAAGTCATGCACTACATATATTAAAAGTTTGTCTACTTATAAATAATTTAGGTAATATTATTAGAATACAATTTTTATGATATAAAAGTTGAATTTGTATTTTTTAAACTGTATTTGCTACAACTAGGATAAGTCTTTCGATGCTCAGAAACTACTTGTAAAAGAAATTTAAGTTGGTCCTCATTATGGGTGATTTTGCGATTAAGGTCTTGGATCAATGCAACTCCTCTTTCTGCCACATCATTCGTCACTCGAAGATTTTTAAAAACTTTCTCTGCTTCTATGAAACTTTTAGATTCGTTCCAGTTTACCACGTCAGATTCCCAGAATTTTTCAACACCAAATTCTATAAATATTCTCATTGTATTTTTATTAGCTAAATCATGGAGCCGCAATTTTTCTATATCATTTATTTTAATTTTTGGTAGTACATTACGAACTTCTGGGGAGGGGTTATTAATCATTGCGTGAACTATCTTACACTTAGTTTCTACTGAGACATTTTGGTCAAACAAACAAAAACCAACTAACTCATCTGACAGATACCACAAGTGTCCCATCATTTTTTTTACCGTGGCATTTGAAATATCTGGATTATCGTAGTTTATTAAGGTCTTCATCAGCTGTAAGTCATTGTTCGGAGCACATGTCGCTAAAGATGATGTGAACCAACTTTTTATATAGACGGTTACAATAAAAACGCATATTTCTGCTAAGCCCCTTTTTTCTTTCCCATTCAAATTAAATTGCTCACTAAACATAAATATTTTCAAACAGTAAATTACCTTTGACATCCAACGAGCATGGCTAGTTGCACCTGGAGTCATAAATCTGATACCTTTGGTGGGTTCCTTACCAATAAATATAACTGATAATTCCAGAAGCTCGCGATAATCGTCTCTGACTTGTTTGATTTGAAGCATTTCCTGACAAAAATTGACTATATCGTTTCGTTTTTTATCTGTTATCCTGAGAATTATAGTTGGATTGGCTGAGATATATGATGACTGATCAATTTTTGACCAATATGACTGAAAGCGTACAAAAAGTCGGTTATCGGGCCCAGATGTAGCTGAAGGCAACACTGCTTGAAATGCTGCTCCRATAACTAACTCGAATATGTGATGTCTGCATGCTAACCAAAATAAATTTTTTCCAAGTTTACCTTCCAATAACACGCAAGACCCTTTGTTTTTCCCAGTGTTCGAGGACGTCGTGTCAAAACACATGGTGACAATATTTTGGCTTAAGTTCCACTCTTGATCACTCAAGCAATCAAAAACTGCTTGAGCTTGTACCTCTCCAGTCGACGACGATAACTTTTTTATACTTAGTATTTTTTATTGTTCTCCACCTGAAACCAATATGGGAGGCGGTCTACATGCTCTCGGGATGTGAGATCAGACATCGTTTTTCCATCCCAATGAACAGTTAATTTGCTATTTGATGTAAACGATTCTTTTATAAAACAAGCCATTTCTTGCCTTATTTTTTCACGATGTAGTTTTATTGAACTACGTCTACACGCGAAAGAATCAATATCCTCACCTAAACTTTTTAGTGTTGCTCCAATGATAAAAGTTGCTTACCGATCACTTACTTTAGTTCTATCCAACACAGCTGCTAATTCTGGAGTTATTAAAGGTTTCAATTTATTCTTGTTAGCAATGACTTTTTTTGATTTTTTTTCTTCAAATTTGAAATCATCATCGGAACTATTGTCACTAGAATGATTTTCTTCCRTGTCCGATGATGTAAAATCATAAACATCACTTGAAATACGATTGGCTACTGTTTCTTTGTACAACCGTAGTTTTTCTTCTCGCTCCATTTTACGATTTTTTTTTTTGGGGTAGTGAAAACGTCCACTGTAGAATTAAAACCCCTTCTTCCTGGCTCTCGTTGTCCCAGTAAAAATTGTCTATCTTCATCAATCGTTATTTTATTTAAAGCATCAGCATCACCAATATCGAAAAGATTAGCCATTTTTAAACGAAAGCCACATCATAATAATTTAATATAATATATATATTGTATATAATGGTCAATTATTTATAACATTGCTTAGGCTTGTATTTTTTAGCCAATATTTGTAGGTACTCAAAATTTGATATTTTTTTTCCCTCAGCTTTATAATTTGGGTATCAATGAAAATTATTTTAAAGTAATATTGTATAACAAAAGTCATAAATTACGACTTTGAAATTACAAAGTTATTTTGCTACTGCTACATGATGTTTGAAAATGTTTGGAACCACTCATATATTRATTATTACTTGACTAATGGGAGGCAACTAGTACTACAGTACGTTTCACGAAACTAGCGACTCCGCAGTGGCGCTTCCGGTGGCAGATTTTCATCAGGGTTTCCTAAATTTGTGACTAAAAAGCGYGRCAATTTAAAAATGACGCGGCAACCATCGAACAGCTGGCCCTGTTGATGTGGATTTTTTTTAATAATTTTACCTACCACTGCCAAACATTTTTCTATRGTGATACCATAGATATTCCATGATAAACACACTGTTGCATGRTGATTGGTGAACGTATTACTGTTGATAACGATAACGGCCACATTATTTTGTTGTTATGTTTACAACTTCGTTCGAGTGTTATCTAGACGATTGTTTTTATTGACAACTTTATAATTTTTCGACTTTAATACGACTTATCAGTGAGTTTTTATTGTGCTTGTGGTTGCATTGTATATCTATGTTTTCGAGAAAAAGCGCGAAAAAAATTTTGAACAAAATGTCCATTCGACCTGACGTACATTCTCAGACAAAAAACACTATTTTTAATGTGTACAATTTTTTTAAAAAATTATCAAATGACAAAAATAACCCCGTTGTAGCTWCATTTTTTYGAAAAGCTCAGGAAATAACTGCAGAAGCATGTGGTGTTAGTGTCGGTACAGTGAAACGGATAACTTCTGAAGGGGCTAAATCGACTGCTGCAGAACCCGTGGTTGGTCCATCATTTACATCTCCTCGAAAATCATATAAAAGGATTAAATATGCAACTGATATTGATGATTTTGACGCAGATATTGTTCGAAGGACGGTGCACGAATTTTATGATAAAGGTCAGTTTCCCACATCACAAAAAGTTTTAACTGCGTAGGTATCAACAAAAAGTGAACGATTATAAGGGATCTAGGATTTCCATGTGGCGCATTCTTAAAYCCTTACATTTTAAATACAAAAAATGTAACGATGGCCGACGTTTTCTTATGGAACGTAACGACATTGTTGCCATGCGTGTCAAGTTTTTAAGAAAAATGCATGACTTAAAACAAAATAATGATACTCGCCCAGTCGTATATCTTGACGAAACGTGGGTGAATCAAAATYATTCACGTGGAACAATTTGGCAAAATTCGGAGAATACAGAARGGTTAAAAGTACCAACTGGAAAGGGCAGTAGAATTATAATTTGTCATGCTGGGTCGAGTGCATTTGGGTTTGTAAAAGGAGCGAAATTAATATTCCGATGTAAATCAGGGCCAAATATTGATTATCATACTCAAATGAACTCGACAATTTTTAAAAAATGGTTCATTGAAATGCTGCAAAACTTGGAAGAACCTTGTGTCATTGTAATGGACAACTGCCCTTACCATTCTGTTCTTGTTCAAAATTACCCAAAAGCAAATGAAAATAAAGCTACTTTTCAAAAGTGGCTTACAGAAAATGGTGTGGAATTCGCTTCATATGAAACACTCAGTGAGCTGCGAKAACGGGTAAAACTTTTAAAACCGAAAGACAAAAGGTATGAACTTGATGAAATTGCTTTGGAAATGGGACATGAAGTCATACGGCTACCCCCATATCATTRTCAGTATAACCCGATTGAGAAGATATGGGCCCAAGTTAAAGGTGAAATTGCAAACAAAAACAACAGTTTTAAAATCACGGACGTTGAAAACTTAGCAAATATTGCCATAGAATCCGTAACTGTAGACAATTGGAAACGTTGTGTTGATCATTGCGAACGTCTTCAAGAAGAAGACTTTATTAAAGAAGGATTCAGGGACCAAATTTTAGAGCCAATAATTTTGACAATTAACCCGGAAGACAGTAGCGAAAGCGAGGATGACGACGAAGAATCACTTCAATTGTAAATATAAATGTTAGAAATGTTAGAATATTAAAGATGTGTTATAATTATTGTAAATATTAATGTTAAAATCAAAATACATTGTATATAGTGTATATATTATGTAAATAATAAAGTGTATTATAATAAATAATAAAATGTATAATAAAATAAATTATACAATAAATAAAATAATAATTTTTATTCATATTTTTTAAAAATCGTGCAGTATAACAAATTGTCGCGTATTTTGTGCAAGTTTGAGTAACCGCGGATCACCGAAATTTCACCACTGTGAGCGCCACTGCRGAGTCGCTAGTTTCGTGAAACGTACTGTAGACCCTTTTCGTTTATGATAACATTTAGGGTACGTCGGGAGGCAACTCGTATATAGTCGGGGGCGTAGCCCGTTTCGCCCGGGTACCCGTTTTGCCCAAATTTTGTTTTTATATGATTCCCGTTTCGCCCAGAGTAGTTTAGACCAATTTAAAATTAAGTTGGCAATAGTTCAGTCAAATACTTGAGTATCATTTAGCGTTATCCAGAAAACAGCACTTTGTTTTCCAAAAATTATACACACGTCATTTTTTTTTTTCACAAAAGTTTAACACATTAAAAATTTATTCCACACAACATTTATAAATACTTATCATTAAAAAATCAAATTAACGTCATAAAAATTTACACATCTTATAAAAAAAATCGATTTTAATCGTTCAAAATATAATTATTAATACCACCTAAAGTTTATTTTTAAAATTATTACACATGTTTTTTATGAATTCATAACGAGTAATTTTATTTGAGCGGTACCTCGTTATTTGTTTCTGATTGTGTACTTTCCTTTTAATTATATTCGCATCTTTTGATATCTTTGGTACTTTAACGCTATTGATTTTGATATACGTATCAGTTTGAACCAAGTTTTTCACAACATTTAACCAACTTAATATAGATGGAGAATTAGAATAAAAATAGTCATTGAAGAACGAATGAAACGACTCGCACGCATTCGTCGTAAGCAGAATACTCGCTGAATTACATGCCCATAAACAAGGAGGAAATGTACTATCCTCAGAWATATAATTGTTTACTAAATAATCACAATATTTGGTGACTCTATCATCAGTTGGGCATTCTGGCATCAAATCTTCCACAAAACAGTCAGATACTTCTTCGGGGTCCAAATATAATAAACCAAAAGTGTATTTAATCCATTTGCCAATGTCCGAATTTGTTTTATATTCTGTTGCTAAACCATGCTGCTGAATATTTCTATACCATGCCTGTGTTAGATGAAAACGACATCCAACCCTCTTTGACAGAGGCCATATTTCATTAACAGCTGAGTGTATAGCCASTTCAAAGTCAATAGTTATATGTTTAGGTGAAAAATTTAAATTAATTTCTTTACATTTATCAATAATTGCGTTAAGCGTATATAAGTATGTTTCATACTTTTTATCGGGAAGTRGACAAAAAATTAATGGTATATAATGTCCATTTTGAAAACCATGGATGGTAAACATTTGYGTAAAAAATCGCGCACAATATTGAAAAGTTCCATCCATATAAATAGTGTCTACTGTATTTAAAAATATTAAATTAGTCTTACAAGAAAAAATAATAACATTTTTTTCTTGATTATTTATTAAAAGAGAGGGTTCATTTTTTGAGGTTACAGTATCAGATGTATTTAAAGCCATGTGTGCTTCAATTATATTACTTGGCAACACAGGAAGAACTTTACGTCTACTTCTATATATTACTTTTCTAATTGTATTAAAATCGTTTGATGTTAGG